ATATATATATATATATATATATATCATAATTATTTTAATTAATTTACGTCTTTATTTATATCAAATAAGATTTCATAAGAATTCAAAATTAGCAGAAACCACATAATTATGTCATAAATTAAATATTAATAGTTTTAATTTATATATTTTAATTTATATATTTTAGTTTTATAAAAACACCGTTACCAAAAAATAAAAATTTTCTCTTACAATTGTTTATTACTCTTTTTCATTACTTTTTATTATTTAATTAATATTTCTATCACTATATAGTATTTAATTAGAATTTCTATTCTTATTTAATTTAAAAAAAAACGAGAAAGCAAATATATTTTTCGATGTCAGTATACGTTCCAAATCGACGAGGATGCTTCAAGTTTCGCCGCGTTTTATAGATATGCTTTTTATCGCAATCGACTTTTTTTTTTATATTGCAAATCTCTTCGAGGTGGCGTAGAGATAATATTTATTCGATTGCCGATACGGGGTGAGATTGCGCGAATCGTCTTGTCATCGCATCTCGGAATCGCATTTAAGCGCGTACACGTGGCCGCATGGGCTTTGCCATTTAAATCCGATTCCCTTTAGTTATCTCTCGATCTCGAGGATCAAAAATTCTGCCGGACAATGGAGCCGTCCCGATGTAGTATTTTCATTTCGGATTATACCGAAACAAGCTGCGACCGCTACATTCGATTGAAGTATACGATTAGCAAAAGAAAAAAAAAAGAAAAACTCTTGGTTTATCTAAAAACCGTTTAATTTTTCCATTGAGATTTCTAATCTTCTCAATTTTATTTACTTACTACGTTTTAATTTATTATTTTTTAAATTTATTTAAATTCCTTTTTGGAAAAATTATTCGTATATATATATATATGCGTCACTATCACTATTTCTATTATTACAATATGCGTGATGATGCACAAAGAAAAGCGTTAATGTACAAGATGCAATTACTGATAAATGGGGATATTAATTACAACCGTGGGAACTGGAAATGCCGTTTTCCCGATTCTTCCGGAGAAGCGTCACAGATGGAACTATAACTCATCCGAGTTCGACGTACCCTCACCTTGTAATTTCAGAGGTAGTAATTATCAAAGTGTAATAAATGAGGCCCGAAATCATCCAGAAACGTAAAGATATTTGTAACAGGGCTTAGTTTATTAGTTTGTCGGCATTATCATAAAAGAGTACACCCTATGAATTAATCTATTCATACTAAATATGAATTACGAACGTCGGTTGTATAAAATAACGCAGAAAAAATTTTAAAACAATAAGATTATTGAAGTGTTAAAGTGTAATATGGAAAATAATTATCATAATATTTTTATAGAACATTAATTAAAAACAGAAATATAACCAATATCTCTGCAAAGAGAATTGAAAAAAAAGAAAATTGGTTCTTCTTTCTTAAATTATATTGTTTTTAAAGAATCTTATGCATAGCACAGATATTCATTATGTTTTGTTTATAATTTTTGTAAAATTTTATAATAAATGTTGGAGCTTTATCTTGTTTGGAAAATGATTTTTCTCTTTTTTTATATCTTTTACGATTTTTGATGCAACTTCTGCATAATCCTCGAGATAATTTTTTTTATCAAGATAAAAATGCATTCAACTTATAATAGAAATGACTCTCTCTATCCTCGACACGTAGTTCTCTTTATATAAAATAACAGTAAATATCGCCCAGTTAGAAAACAACGCGTGCATCTGGCAAACATATTGTAACCAACAGTGAATTATTAAATATTATTGTCTGGCACTTAATAATGCGTTAGTAAAATCAGATTATGCGTATACCTGTTACGGTACGCATAATTACAGGTTTGCTCGGCAGGCCAAATGTCGCCGAAGTGGTTAACCCAGGACGCAACCCTTTGCGACGTTGCGGCCGCACGTGACTCGCACGTGCGTTTAATTTCTTTTTTGTTATTACGGCTTTATCCGTGATTTCCGACGATGTGCTCTTTGCTGTTCGTAACAATTTTCCGGGAGAGATGTAAAAACTCGAATGTACTAAAGTAAAGTAGCAATTAATAAAAACAAAGAGATGCCAAGAACATGGCAGAATTAAAAAAAAATATTTTGCGTGTATTATAACTGCATGTTATACACGCATGTTATACACATTATTTCGAATTATAAATGATAGATTGTCGAAAGATTTATATTATATTTATAGATTTATATTTATATTGCACTGTATTTCGATACGTTATTCTATTCATATTATTTGTTATATAATAAATTCTTTTATCTTTATATTTTTGTATGTTAAAATATGCTTTATGCGTTTATTAAAATTTATATATTGAAAACAATAAAAGATGCATGTGTATAGTATTAATAATGTATTAATGTTATATACTTCGCTTGATGTCGCAAGTTTTTTCTCACTTGCCAGTTTAGAACCGGCTTTTTTCACTGCGATGGACTTTCATGTCAATTACGAATTCATGAAGTCGCTATAGACTATACTTGAAAATTCTGTAGGTTCGATGTGAGTAAAACCTATGGTTAGCCAAGTTCATATAACGAACAATATTCAACGGCGATGAAAACTTTTCGCAAAAATGCCAAGTGTAATGAGCTCGAGTGATATAAATACCTAAAAGAATATTTCAATGTATAAAAGGATTAATAAATTTACCTATAATACATACATACATATACACACACATACACGTGTGTAAAATTCATAAAATTCAAATATATATATATTTTTTTAAATTTTAATTATTTCAATGACATAACTTGGCTATACTCCAACAATTTAATGAAGTACTCAATCTTGCACAATTTTAGATCTTCCAATATTTGTCGAGGAACAAATTCTCACTAATTTCATCGTTCCTAATTCGATGGCGTGTTCAAAACTCGTTTCTTCAGTCTCAATTCGTTCAACATTTTTTAGAAGCGAAGCACGCGGTTTTTAAAGGTCATCTCGTCATTTTTAAGAAAATATGCATTCCTATTGGCATTGAGCTGCAGTTCTCCTGACGGTGTTCCGGGACACTGTTCCTAGGAACGGGAATGACGACGGTTCCTTATCAGATCGATGAAGAGGCGGCACCGCTACCCCAGCAACCAAGGGGTAGGCAGGCTTGCCGACTGTGCGTTCGACGAATGGGGTCGTAGCTGGGCTTTCAACCCCGGCATGGCTTCCGCCTTGCTGCTCGTCGCTTTTCGATTTTAGTCCAGCGAGAGATCACCTGAACGATCGTAACGCGATAGGTGGTCTGCCGGCAGAGGAGGCTGCGAAAGATCCCAGCTTTCGAGCGCGAAATCGGCTAACATCCGGAAAAACATTCAAGAAGCATTCATTCCTGAATTTTGCCCTGAATTTTGGTATTATTATATTTATATATTTGGAAGGATTGTACACGCGACAATGATTTGCGCGACAATGATTAGCGACGTTTCTTGTGACGGATAAATCTACGGGGAATGTTTTGGGTGTCAGTGCAAGTGCGAAAAAAACCTAAAGAAATATTCAAGAGAAACCATAAATTAGTACAGAGTTGTTTTCTACAGAAACTCAGGAACAATAATTGTGACAGTTCGCAAATATTGGAAGCGATAATGTAATTGCAAAGTGCGATTAGAGAACTTGAAAACTTTTTCAAGAATATTTTTAAAAGTTACGCATACATTTTCTTAGTGACTTTTTAAAGAATTGATAATTGTAAATTCTGTAATGAGTAAATTCAAGGAAGGACGATTGAAATGTTGGTGTTGTAAGGAAAGTAGGATGGCATCCTAAAGAATTTGAGGACCAAATAAAACTTGATGGAAAAAACGGTCAAGTGAAAGTGTAATATTTAAAGTCTGACGTCTTCATTGAAATCCGTTCAAAGTCGCGAGAATAGAATATAATTCGGAACGTCATTTTTACGTAATAAAGAAATATATAATTATAACAAAAGACTTCCATCTAATTATAATACTTTATGAAAGAAGCTCTTCGAAAATCTTATATAGAAATTCTGTGGAAGGAAAATGAAGCTATGTTTGTCAATCCAATAAAACAAACAAGAGTGTAAAATTAATAACAATGAGAGCGACGGAATAAATTCCAAGCTTGTTGGGCCGATATAACTAATGCATTTTAATTATTTGCAACTGCAAAAGAGTGATTTAAAAATCTAAGATATAGAAATCTTGTAATCAAAGAAGGATACAAATAAAGACATTTGATAGAAAATATTCTCACGTGTCATCGCGAGTGTAAAAAGGTATTAGAGATCCAAATCCCTTTAACGAAATGTCGTAAGTGGCGTCGTTGCATGCAAATCCAAATATCTCAAGGTGCGAGCGCCAAGTGTTAACAAGTGTTTGGACAAATCTCGACACGTGCCCGGGGTGGTTCGCCAAGACACGTGCCGCTGTTTAGAAATATTATCCTGCACGCGCCTGGCAGGCACGTGTCGATCGTATCTCCCGATCCTCGAGATGTGATCGAGGTCACGTAGGAGATGACCGGAAATTCCGGCGAACGATGCGATCATCCGTCGCGTCCGATCCCACGATTCGGAATTCAGTATTTAGAATCGTCCGATAATTAAACGATTATAATTTCAAAGCAAACAACTAAATGGCGTGAGATACACGATAGTCTCGTCATTCCATTTCTAGTCACACTATCTAGTCATTATTTTTTTTTTTTTAATAATCCGTAAGGCATCCAAGTAAGGATAAGCGACGCTAGATTATCAAATAAATATCATGAAGTGAACAGTGTAATTAACGCAACGGTTCGACGTCCGTGAGACGCCTAATTGCGGTGACGCGGTATAAGTGATTATTGGTGAACAATATCGAATCCCCTCCCTCCCCCGTCATCATGTATTCGATGGACAATCTCGAACGGGACATGATGAACCGGCAGTACATGTACGAGGCGCACAGCTTCCTGGGTAA